ACCAATACGACTTAGGGTCCTTCAAGAAAAGAGCCTACTCCTTTTTGAAAGGCCGGCAACGCATCTGCAATTCCCCTGGTGTTGCGGTTGTTCATGGGCGGCGGTAGTCACTTACCATCAGGTGAGCCGCATGCTCGTTTGCCCCCTCTCCTATAAAAAAAATAGATAGCAATTTGGCAGTAAGAGTAATTTCGGAAAAAATTTACAATTCTAAATTTAATCACTTGCCATTGTCAGCCACCAACAAAAAGCAATTTAGTTATACGAGCACACACATAGAAACCTTCGGGTTAGTTTCATTACCTATAGAATATAGTGGGATCTTGCATACTCTAAGCGTGTATGTAGTGCGCATTGGAGGAGCGTCGCTCCTGGTCAGGGACTTCATTCGTGTTTTTAACTTAGAACTAGCGCATGCGCAGCCAGTTGCCAGTGGTTGCACTCAGCGTATGCATGCGGTATGCCCGCAAGCGCAAGGTGATTGCCCCGAAATTATAACAAATAAATTATGCTCAAGATTACCTAATGTTTTTCCTAGTAAGCTTGTGTCATTTAATAAGTGTACTGTTGATTTATACTTAAAACCTGACGCACAACCTACCTTTTTCGAAGCTAAACCCGTACCATATGCCCTAAAGTAAAAAAATTGACAAAGAGATAGATCGTATGTTGACGTTAGGCCAGGCCTCCGTCACTCGCTCAAGGCCCTGCGTTATATGCCTACCGTTTTTCTTATCGCCCTCAATACAACCGGCGTTGAGCTGCCGCATGCCCGCCTGAGCGCTTGCACCGCGCACGTTTCCCGCGCTTATTCGTCGAAATGCCGAATAAGGTAATTATTGTATAGTGGTGGAAGGTGTTGCCGTGTAGTGGCAGTTAAGAATATCCACTACCCTATATCTTCCCGTGGGTGTCGTTAAAGGCGACAAAGGGAAACAGGCAGGAGATGGGCAGCAGCATCTTCCTGATAACAGCAAAAATACAATAAAAAAACTGTGATTGCCAACCCGCTCGCCAAGCGTAGCAACTATGGCAAATACCCCCCAAATGGATAAAGTTACTAAAAGACGCTATTCCTGGCTACGGTGGCAACCATGGTAACGGCGGAGCAGGGGGTGTTAAGAATCTTCGCTGGAGTTTTGGTTGCCACCTACGACGACTCGACCTGGCAACATACAACGCACGCACCCTGAGGAATGACGAGAAGATTGTGGAGCTGGAAGAAGAGATAGACAAGTTACGCTGGCATATTATAGGATTATCCGAAGTCCGAAGAGAGGGGGAGGAAACGGTAATCCTCGAATCCGGCAACTTGCTCTATTACCGGGAGGGCGACCATCTGTCCCAAGGAGGTGCCGGATTTATCGTCCACAAGTCTCTCGTTAATAACGTTGTAAAGATTGAGAGTGTGTCGACGAAGGTTTATACTCAGAATCCGACCTTATACTCAGAATCACCAAACGGTATTCGCTGAAGGTCATACAGGTTTACGCACCAACCTCGGCACACCCCGATGAGAAGGTGGAGGAATGGTTCTAGAGATATTCTCATATCTCTAGAACCATGCATTCCTTCAAAACCCAATATACGGTGTTAATGGGAGACTTCAATGCAAAACTAGGCACAAGAGAGAACGGTGAGCTGAAAGTAGGGAAATTTGGAATAGGGCTACGAAACCCAAGGGGCCAGCAGCTGGCCGACTTCATGGAGAAAGAGGGACTCTTTATGATGAACTCTTTCTTCCAGAAGCGGCACCACATGAAGTGTACCTGGTCGAGCCTCGACGGTTCGACAAAAAATGAAATTGACTTCACCAAGACGACCTGACGACAACTTTTCAGTGATATCTAAGTGATCGCGAGGTTGAAAACCAGCAGCGATCACCGAATGGTTAGAGGCACACTGAACCTAAACGTTAAGTTGGAGAGGTCTCGTCTAATGAAGCCAACGCACCATCCCCCTCGTGCTCTAATACAAAGACCCGAAACCTTTCAGCTCGAGTTACAAAACCGTTTTCAGTGCCTAGAAGACTGCAATGAAGTGGACGATATGAATGACAAGCTCGTGGAAACTGTCCATGCGATCGGAGCTAAGTTCTGCAAGACCCGCCGCAAAAGAACACAAAAACTCTCCGATCACACTCTTAATCTCATGGCTGTTAGACGGGAGATGAAGCTACATTCTTCAACAGATTTGACAGCATACAGGCAACTGAACAGATAGATCTCCAAATGCATGCGGCGGGACTCATGCAACTTCAATACAGCTCGTATTGAAGAAGCGATTGAGCGGAACCAAGGTTCCAAAGTCTTTGCCAGAGATATGTCTACCAGAAAGAGCCAACTGTCAAATCTGAAGACTGAATGTGGCAGCATCGTTTCCGGGGCACCTGAGATTTTGAGTGAGATTGAGAGGTTCTATGGGCAGCTGTACACGTCATCGTTGGAGCCATACGCGAGTGTGAGTAACGATCCAAGAGCGAGTCTTATCCGACATTATTCCGATGATATACCGGACGTCAGTCTGAGCGAGATTAGAATGGCTCTCCAGCACCTTAAAAACGGTGGCATTACACCGGAGGCGTGGAGCAGAAGTGCGGTGGTCTTGTTCTTCAAGAAAGGTGACAACGCTCTCTTGAAGAACTACAGACCGATTTCCCTTCTGAGCCGCGTCTACGTGCTGTTTTCGAGAATCATTATGAATCGTCCCGCACGCAGACTTGACGACTTCCAGCCTCCCGAACAAGCCGGTTGCCGAAAGGGCTTTAGCACCATAGACCACATACATACCCTTCGGCAAATTGTACAGAAGTCCGAAGAGTACAATTTGCCACTATGTCTGGCGTATGTGGACTATTAGAAAGCCTTTGATTCCGTCGAAATTTGGGCGGTGCTGCAGTCCCTTCAGCGGTGCCAAGTGGACTGTCGGTATATCGAAGTGCTGAAGTGCTTGTACAGTAGGGCTACGATGGCTATCCGAGTACAGAACCAGAGTACGAAACCTATCCAATTGCAGAGAGGTGTAAGACAGTGTGATGTTATGTCCCCATCGATGTTATGTCGATGTTTTCAAGCTTCTGGGCTGGAAAGGATACGGTATCAACGTCAATGGCGAGTACATCACTCACCTTCGATTTGCCGACGATATAGTCCTTATGGCAGAATCGCTGGAGGACCCAAGCACTATGCTCAATGAACTCAATAGTGCTTCCCAACGGATAGGTCTTAAGATGAACATGGACAAAACAAAGATCATGTTTAATGTCCATGTCACTCCTATGCCGGTAGTTGTTGGGAGCACTAAGCTCGAAGTTGTTGACGAGTATGTTTACCTGGCACAAATAGACCGGCTAGGTAAGTCCAACTTCGACCGAGAGGTCAATCGACGGATTCAACTCGGTTGGGCAGCGTTCGGGAAATTACAGCACACCTTCTCGTCAGGTATACCTCAAAACATGAAAACGAGACTGTACAACCAGTGCATGTTGCCAGTGCTACATACGGAACTGAGACGTGGTTCTTCACTGCTGGCCGGATGAGGAAGCTCAAGGTCGCTCAGCGAGCTATCGAGAGGACTATGCTCGGAGTTTCTCTGCGTGATAAACTCAGAAATGAGGATATCCGCAGTAAAACCAGAGTGACCGACATAGCCCAACGGATTAGTAAGCTGAAGTAGCAATGGGCCAGCCATATGTCTCGAAGAACCGACAACCGATGGGGAAGAAAGGTTCTCGAGTGGCAGCCTCGTGCCGGCAGGCGAAGTGTTGGGCGTCCCCCCCACTAGATGGAGTGACGACCTGGTAAGATATGCAGGAAGTCGATGGATGCAGGTGGCTCAGGACCGTGCTTTGTGGCATTCCTTGGGGGAGGCCTATGTTCAGCAGTGGACTTGTGAAGGGCTGTAATGATGATGATGATGTTGATGGATGGGTGTCAGAGTCAAAAAACAAATGAAAAATTGTCATTTTTTTCTTAACTATAAGATTACATCGAAGCAACAACATAACAGTGCTGTGATTTATAAATTGAATGACAACCTGGACACTGAATGCTTTTAATGATTTTAATTAGGTTTTGAATTCCAATCAGGAATATGTAAACACAGTCGTTATTGGTTTTTGGATCTACTTAGTAGGATAGTGAATGTACCCGCGTCTCTGATGTCTTATATTAAAAAGCGTAATTTCGGGTACGGGTAGGCCAGGATGAGCGAACGCTGTGTAATCATGAGTAACTGCAATATTTCTTGCACAGGTGATGGCTTCTTAGTGTATTGGAATATATTTTTTTAGAAAAGTATAAATTTCTAAGTAGTAAAAGACAAATCCAATATATAATTTAATAGCTCACGAAGTTGGGGATTTATCTTGATACATTATGCCTTAGCACGGAAGTCGTTTTTTATTTGTTTGAAGTCATCCATTCACCCACTTAGGCCACAAAAATGATATTTCTTTGCCATAGTAGTCAAGCGGGTTGACATCCACAGTCTTTTTATTCAGCTATTATCAGGAAGATACAGTAGCCCATCTCCTGGTTCAAACACCCACGGGATGATATGGGGTAGTGGATATTGTAACACCGCCACTACACGGTTATGCAATCACTTAGTTTCGCTTTTTTAATTACTTTTTGACCGTTTTGACTAGACTAAGCAATTACACAACCTCAAGGTACTTATCCGCTTGGAAGTCGTTTAATTAGTTACATTTAAAACTTCATCCCATTTTTCCACATTAAGGGGTGGATTTCATCTCCGAATTTAAATGATGACCACTCTAGACGTTTAGTCTATTTAATAAAAATATAAATTAAAATTAAAATCGGTTCACGAATAGCAAACATATGGTAACATCATAACGACAAAACAGCCGTAGAATTGTGAACCCCTGCTTTTTATGTAGGCTAAAAATTGCCTCAGTAGTTCGCAAATAGCATTAGAATAATTATGAAAGTATTGATCAAATTTGTGGTGTAATTTAAGAAAAATAAGTTTAATAATCATTTTATTATTAATAGAGGAAATAGCAATAACAAAGAAGTCACACAATTTTCGCATCCAGTGTTGCAATAGTTTGTGGAGCATACGCAGACGTGGTAGCGCACGAAAAGGGAGATCGAGCGACTGAACGGTGTGAGAGCTGCAAGAGGACTATGTACGCAAATATCCGAGTGACCTTTTGCTATAAGTTCCAACTTCTTTAATCTGTGGGAAGCAAAGTTTCTTGCATACGAATTGAATGTCCCATAGTGGCGCCGACAACCGCGTGATGTGTACAGCGGCCCTACGTCGACGAACCGTTTAAAGCATCCTTTTATATAGTCACCAAACATGTAAGTTTTCAATCCGTTGTCATATTCGTGTAACATATAATACGGGTAATATCTATGACCCTGCATTTGTCGAAAGTAAGGGCTGTAATAAGGGTAAAGGTGACATTTTGCACGGAAGAACCTCGCCATAGTTCGCGCTTGGCCGTTGTCGGAGTCGAACATGTCGTGACACAGGGTACTTGAGGGCAACAAAGTTTCATTATGCCCACACCAGTAGCATCCTATAACAGGAGCATAAGTTATCCACCAGTATTGTGTAACTCCACTAAACCACTCCACGCTAGATATTTTCTCCCCGATAAACCTAGTCGGTCTTTTAATTCGTTTCTTTGCGGGCCAAAGTGTCCTGTATGTCATTTTGCCTCTCAATGATGAGTTATCGTAATTTGAACTGGTGGTGGAGGCAAGCGCCTTAGTTGGAACTGATTGCTTCTGATTGCTCTCTTGGTGGAAATATGGTAATGCAGTGGCGTTCAGTCGCAAGCTTTTCTTCATTTTATTTCCTATGAAAACTTGTCTTAATATTGGTAGCTCGTTCATCAGGTCTTCGTAGGTCTTGTCGTCCAGGTTGTGTAAGAATTCGATATCTGCATTGGAATCGTACTCCTGGTGGTTTCGAAAACGTGACAACCGTGAAGCATTGCCGCATTGTAAAATGTAAAAGAGTAAATAAAAAAATACATATAAAATATAAGTAACCATTTTACGGTCTCATGAAGATGACGTGCGCTGTCACCACAGAGTATATATATAAGGGAGTAAAGTCATCACTTAGAATCGTAGCATTACCGCCATCTATCGATATACGACGTCCCTACAGCCCCGTGAATTAGGATGCTCTTTATTACAATATTTATTATTTATTTTCAAAGTAATTTCCAAAAGTCAAATCATTTTAATATTGATTTGGCTTTTGGAAATTACTTTGTATACAATATAATTTAGGCAAATAAAACAACTGTTTAGCGGTTGGATGTTTTTTATAATGCTTCCTTTTATTATCATAGTACACAACAACCTCTGTCAGAAGAGGCTATAATCTAGGTCAACAGAGCACAAATAGTTAAGCAAATCCATCAGGGTCCAGAGTTTCATGCGTAAGTCCAACGAAAAAGGCGAGATCAAGCAAAGTTGTCAAAAAATCTTATAAACACAAACAGAGCACATTCATAAACCACGAAAGGAAATAGAATGACACACAGACAAATTAAATTACGTTACATTAAATTACGTTAAATTAAGTTACTAGTTTTAGTCTTTTTATAGTTTTAAATCTGTCAAGTCTTTGAACTATAAATGAGATAGTCCAAGGTCACCTTTGTAGAAAGCTCCAAAGAGTATGTTAATATTTAGAAAGGACCCCTCAGAACCAAAGAGTATATATTCACTATGTTTAGTCAGAACGATAGTTAAGAGTGTCCACAACAATAATTTTTTAAATGTTATTTATAACAATTATACAACTAAAATTTTATTAGAATTAGTTTCGTTACTAAATTACGCTTCGCCATCATCGGTGCAGTTTCGTACTTGTGTCGTCAACCAAATGCTTATAAACACTAAATCTAAGAAAACATTTACGAACCACGATTTATTTTTCTTTTTTTAAAAGTTACCCCCACACTAGGATTTTCTCCTGTATCGTGGAGGCAGTTTTCAAATATAAATTGCACGTGCACATATATCCAGACCCGGAACAATTATCTGTAGGCCATACAAGTACTTGTTCCGTACGGGATTCGGAATGCGACCGCCGTCTATGGATATTTTTTTCCGAAACAAATTAATTACATATTATTATTATTAAGTATTTTCATTAGCCACGACACAAGTCCACGTGGGCATCTCACGTTACAGGCGGATTTGTCTTAATAGTCACGCTTGGTAGTCGGATTGACAATCGCAGAGCCAGACGTGTCAGAATGAAATGTAAGTATCTGTATCTATATTTCCCTCCCCAATAATAGTATATAAAGTCATACTCATAAAAACAGCGTTTTATTGTAATACATAATTATAAAAATCAGTATCAACTAATTAATAAAAATATACAGCAATAAAATTACATTGGTATTAAAAACTATCGAAATTTAAGTAACGAGAGCATGTTCGTCGTTTCACATCTAACTTATATAAAAATGCATTTTTCAATTTCACTAATCAACGTCGCCGCGAAAATTTCTTCTTCTTTGGGCACTTTGAAAATTAATTTATTTAGAAAATAATATTTACAGTTACCAGTGTACAGATATTAACTAAATTAAGTATTTCTAGTCATAAAAAATATTTATAATTGAATATAACCTTTTAAAAACTAATATATATTTGAACGAAGTCGCTCCAACACCGACGCGCGGTCCACCCTCGACGATATCCGAAAACGGACTGTGACAGTGTGACGGAGCATGCGCGCTCGCGTAAATATATTCAATTTCAGGGAAAAATGATATATTCTCTTATAAAACGGGGAAAAAAATAAAACTCAATTAAAAAAATTAATATTTTTAAGACCTTTTTTTTAGTGTAAGAACTATTTAAAAAGCTTGTGCCGTTTTGGAGAAATATTGCAAAATATGACAAAGATAGGCACTCTTTGGGAATTTTTTCTAATAAGGGGTTGACAAAAATACAATTTTGTTCAATTAAAAACATTTACCAAATCCTCTTCTGTTACCTTGTATTTTTTCTTTGTGGATTAAATGAACAGTTATTGAGATTTTTTCACTTAAATATCCAAGATTTAGGCATTTAAACCACTGTTAAGGCCTTAAATGTAAATGATATATATTTTTAAATGAATTGATAATCTTTGTTTATTTATGATTTTATATGTTTTAGTCTAATTGTTTTGTATTATGATTAGAAAATTACATTTGTATATGTGCTATTTATATAAATTTGCATGCTATCACAATCACATAGCAAAACATGTTGTGCTTTAAGAATTGTACCATCCTTATCTGTCCATGTTTTATGCAAATATATGAAATAAATAAATAAATAAAAATATTTTTTCAAATAATAAAACTACCCCTTCCCTCTCCTTAGAGTTTCCTTCCACTGCTGGCCATGGGCCATGGAAATAACGGCGAGCACTAAATTTTATTGCCACAAATATCACTCACATTTGCAACATTGCCCTAAACATTGCTCGGAGCATCCGCGTTCCACCGAGATTAAATTTAGTAAAAATGTTCGTCTGTTTTTCCTCCCACATTTTTTTCTTATCACTATTAGAACAAACACCGTTAAAGTCTATAAAACCCCCGCTGAACATAGGCCTCCACTATATGGCTCATAGAGGGTATATTTGTCATAGTTGCCACGCTTGGCAAGCGGGTTGGGAAACTTTTTTGATGCTGGTTCGCTTTTAGGACCATATTTTAAGAACTTTTTAGTAGTGAGTAAAATTTGTTAGTCATTACATCCATCGAGGTGCACGAGGCCAGGTCACTCTCTCATGGTATCGAGCTTAAAAAATTAGATATTTTTTCAAAATCTGCTTTATAGAAGTTAGTTATGTCTCTCATAATAATTACGGTAAAGAAATTTAGCTGAAGGGCAGCGCAAATTCCAGTGGTGGGTGATAATCATCTACAGAACTGAGCTCAGAGTTAGATCGTGTCACATTCAACAGAATATTAAGATTAAAGATAACCAGGTCTAAAAGGACATTGCTCTGCGCCCATACATTGTTCGCCCTTGAACCAAGAGCATCGGAAAGTTATGTATTTTATTGTTGATCATTAGTAGATTCCTATTTGATCTTATTTTTATAGCGGACTAGCTGCATAATAGATATATTTCAAATACAGTATCAGATTTTTAGGTTATAATCAAACCACGAATATTACGGTTTTTCAGTTTGTTAAAATCTGAGTGATTTTAACAAACTGAAAAACGATGTCCTAAAACATTTAGCTATTTTTAGTACCTATCTACATAATTAGGTATGCAGTTTTTGTTCTAAAGCCTAAGTGTATGTAAGTGCAACGTATAAGTGCATAGAATCTAGTTAATAAGCCTGCTTTCTGAGCATTGGTTTTGAAATGAGAGGTAATATTTGTGTGTATTAATGTAAAATAAAAATGTATGTTTATAATGGCTGTTAACATTTAGATGTTGTCATTAGCATATACGGTACGGTAAGATACCTAGTACCTAAATGTATAAGGATTTAGGCTGTCAGTCACGCCGCTAGACATGCCGTCGGACAGCGAGCGTGAACAACGTGAATATTATCGACTACTATCTAGTGCATTTGCAAGCGTATACGTCTGGACGGCGCTGTTCAAACGCGTGACTATGAAACCAGCCTTACCGACTTAGTACCTAATTGGTAGTATAAGTTGTTTTTACACCAATATTAACTTATTATGTTTGAATTAGAAATAAAACACAGATTAACTTCATGTTTATTGTTCATCTTCTAAATTAGAAATTAGAATATTGTCTAAAAACTGTGCAGGAATGTCGATATTATTTTGATGTCTCGTAAAGCTCAAGTACTAAATAATGGTCATAACATGGGCGCAGCAATCGATGGTTCTGCGTACAACGATGCAACTACAGCAGTATTGCACGATTGCTTCTCTTTTGATTTCTTCTTCTCTTCTCGATTGTTCATCTTTCAACAACATTGAACCACCAGCAGAGCCGCAATTTACACAAAATACACTTTCCATTGCATATGCGTAAGTCCGTTTATGAATGCTAGGTTATCGTTTGAGCGGTACACAGTTCCAAAAATCACAGCAAAATAAGTCGTTCTTGAAAGCAATCAGAGTCCATTAAAATGCCAAGTTGTAATATTCAATATATAGTCCCGAAAGTCACCACAACACAGATACAATTACAAAGACAATTACAATTGCAAACGACGCCAACCAATGTAATTTTGACAGAATGAGAGAAGACAGTACAAAGTAGGCACGTAGATTGAGGATTGACGATAGAAAATTGAAGATACAAAGTCTATGAGTAGGCATGTCAATTTGAAATCATTTAATCGATTGTTTATAGTAAAATAATCGATTTTCAAGATAGATATAGATCTGAAGAATCCTTGCCCAATGTTGTTACAAAAACCTCTCGAATCGGACTTATTCAAGAACTAGCTATATTTCAAACGATTCAAGAAATGCTTTTGCATAGTTGGAACATCTGCTCCTTGTGACCGGCAGAAACACTGTTCTGTTCTGCGTTCGGTCCCAGGGTCGGGCAAATTATTATTGGGTTTTAATAACTTGAAGTTCCCAGTAGTAGCACGGAGTCTGGATTTGTGTCCGGTGTTTGGCAATACGCGCAGCCCCTATTACATGGGACATTTATAACAGTACTACACACCTCTACCTACTCCTTCTGGCAAATACAGGCGTGATGTTATGTTTATCAATTTAATGATGTTTCTATACAGTTACTTGTATTTACGGTAAATTATCGTCAATAATGTTCTGTATCTATATTAGGCATGTTTGAAAATATCACGATTGATCAAAAATACATCTGTTAATGCTTGATTTAATCGTGAATGGATTCTAATATGTTCGATTTGAATTGAATTGGAGATTGTAATTGTTTAATGAGA